GCAGAGCTGGGTCCTTTTAACTGTCCATACGCCATCTCCTATAATTAGTAGGTAATTTTCCAGGGGTTGGCGGGGGTGGTCAAAAGCTTCCACGAAGTCGCACCCAGTTATGTCCAGATTCACATTAACATCCTTTCAGGTATTGGGGTTTCCTGAGAAAGGAATCATTTGGACATTCCTCATTTACAATAATCCTATGCTGTCCAGCTCCCACAAATTAGACTGGTTCAACATCATTCTCGATAGAAGAATACATGACTGGGTTGACCTCTCATGAGTAAGAGGAAACTCGTGACCGTATACACTAACTTCCTCCCTCTAGTCATTTATTAACTAGAGGCGTAGTCTGCCATATTTACATGGCCCGTACCAGTGTTGAGAAGTGACGCCGATGGTTTTGGATTTATGCCCTTTATCCTGAATTTTTTACATCCAACACCGTCAAGCTATTACCTCAGCACAGCCAAAATCTTTATTGCCATTAGCTGCACCTTTACATCAGTCCTGTAGTGACAGGGTTATTAACATTATCATTATTTGTCACCATATTATAAGAATCACATACAACCCTGCACATAACTGTATGGTGCTTTCACCTTTGTTGCATTATAGCAACTGTTCAATTTTTGGTTATGACAATCCTTTACTTAGATTGTCTAGACATCTGATAAATCTGTCAAGAATTCTTTCAATTCTTTCCACTTTTTAATATCCCCATGAATTACCAAGGCATTACAATTTTTAAGTGAAATGAGGGTACCCTGGCAAAGAGGCAGTCTCTCTTTTCTTGCCTGACCTCTTATTAACTGGGTTACACTTACTTACTGAGGTCCTTATTCCTCTTACCATTTGATGTGAGGAACCACTATTACTGATTCCCTGACTTGATATGTTGCCTATTTAACTCTTAACTATGATTATTTCCAACTGGGATTATTTTTCCCTTTTGAGGCTTGACTAGATACTTCAGAGTCATTATGTGTTAAATCCTTAGAACCTGTTTGGCTGACTGGTCTGCAATTGAACCATTAATTCAGCCGACCTAGGTCTGATTTCCTCCAAGACCGTACTATGGAGGTTTTGGGCAAACACACCCTTTGCAATTAATAGGTTGATCAACTGCCTGCTTACACCCTTTAATTTATTCAATAGCCTTACTTTTACAAGACAGTTTCTCCAATTCGTAATGTTGATTAATTAAAACATTCATTTCCATTCCATCTGCACAATTCTCTAGCAGATTCTCTTTCACAGTCTTTAAACCACAATTTGTACCAATCAAATCTACTCTCTAAAGCAATCTAAATATATCTTTAATTCATTAGGGTTCACGGTTCTTTGATTCACCTAAATCAAATCGCCTTCGTCACATGGCTTTTAATAGCCCTGTAATGATGCATTCATTACTCTAAAATCCGGACTTGTCAGCCACATTAACTCCATTAGATCCAGCAAGGTTAGAGAATTATTAATCACTATTATACAACATAATAGGCGCCTTATAAGAGTAATTCTAGCACTTTACTACTCTTGTATAAATCCAAGCCACACATGTGCTAGCAATTAAATGGGCTAATAGTCCATCCACACACGATCGATTAAACTTGTGCACCCTACAACCCACTTCCTTCAATCAGTCACTTATTATTAAGTAATTAATTCAATTATATTTTTTCACTGATTGCATCGGTTCGAAGGACCACGGTCCGATATGAAGAATTTTCTTAGGGTGCTTACCTGTATGTACCACAACATTATATACATACCATAATCTTCATTGGTAGACAATCATATAGTTTAACCGTAGTCCACCGAACCCCGTGTAAACATGTGAGAAAAACTTAACCACCCCTGGTCCCGCACCAGTGGAGTCCCCTCGACCCCACAATCTAACCATATCAATCCGAGACCAAGTAATGGATTGGGATACACCCACAAGTACTGGTGCTACTAATTAATTGTGGACTGTAATAGATTATATTAGTTTAACTGATTGAAGGGGGGGGGTAGGACACACATGGATACATCCGTCAAGGAAAACCAATTTGTACAAAATCCCACTACTTACCCAGATGTTCTCTGGTGGTCACTTATGTAGGCTGGATCAACTCGTACCTATCTAATTATAAACAAACCACTACTGGCCAGTCTAAGGTTGCTATAACTAGAAGGGGTTACTTAACTGTGGGTGATTGATATTCCTCATTTCTTGATTCACCATCTCATTTTCCGATGTCCTGCTACACCGACAAGCGATTCACATTCCAGCAAGGACGAGTATCCGCGGTTTTGTCCTGCTTTAGGACGTCCAGGTGGGGGGGGGGGGGGGGGGGGTCAGCAGGAGTTTCCCTTTTCCTCGTCTCGTTTAACAATGAGGTCAGCGAGTTCACATCCGGAGCAAAACGACTTATTTCACTTTCACAATTCATCTTAACTAGCCGTTATTAACATTAAATTACTTACAATTCACAAGGCCGATTAAACGTCTCATAACTATTATACAAACAAGAGGTCACTCCATTAAGTCTGAGACCGATGAGTGATGATAATCCAAGGGGTAATTTTTCCCTAGACACAGTCCATTGTGACGCGCATTCTACCCGGTCCCTTCTCTTATCACACTTTTACCACTCATTAACTGGTTTACCTGGAGTTTACCTGGAGAGAGTTCCGGGGTCAACGCCCCCGCGGCCCGTTATGAGACAGGCCTCCTGGTGGATCAGAGCCCTGATCAACCAGGCTGTTGCTGCTGGCGCCACGCAAACCACATGAGAAGCGACCACAGCCCGGCTATCCGAACGACTTTAGGTGCTTGCCAGTGCCAGCTTGAAGACTGTGCTCAGGGGTCTGTGGTAACCCCCTTATGTGTGCTGGTAGGCAGTGAACAGACTTCGGGCCCCTGACACTTATTGTATGGTCCTTAAACGTGCTAGTGACACCCCCAGCTTTTCATTGGGGGATGGTGCATCGTCTGCCCAGTCTTTTGCTTCGTAGTGGGGGTGATTTTCGTGTCCAAGTTCGGTACTATCCCTCTAGGATTTTCCAGGTGTATATAATCATGTATCTCCTCCCTCCTGCGTTCCAGGGAATACAGGTATAGGAACCTAAGCGCAACCCAATAATTGGAGGTGTTTTATCTCCGTTATGCGCGCCGTGAAAGTTCTCTGTACATTTTCTTCTAGGTCGGCAATTTCACCTGCCTTGAAAGGTGCTGATAAGTGTGGGCAGCAAATATTCCAGCCTAGAAAGAATCAAGTGATCCTGAAAGAGTGTCATCACATGGGCTTGCCTCCCTAGTTTTGGAGGTTCTCATTATCCATCCTGTCATTTTCTAAGCAGGAATGCGATTGATAACAATGTTAGGTCCCTTGAAGGTGAGATCCCTCCTTCCGACATGAACACTCCCAGGTCTTTGACGTTGGTGTTCGCTCTAATTTGGTGGCCAGAGAATTTGTTTTGTACTCTATGAAAGATTTAAATTTCCTCAATGTTTACCATATCTGAGGGGTCCCCGTAAATTCCCGTTCCCCTCGACTCTCCACCAGAACAATTACGACACTTCTTATTATGAAATGAGGCCTATATTAATCCTTAGGCACCGTGAACGTCAATTTCGTGTTTCCATGTTTTCTCAGCTTCCTCACCACCATTCAAACATACGCGCCCACTACCCTCCCCACTTCCGCGCGATGCGCAAAGGGAACTCTTGGTTCTACTCTTATTTTTCAAATACATTTTTGACCCATATAGACACATTAAACACCTATTAGGCACTATAGTTTCGGAAAATTAAAAAATTTTCCACACAATGAGTAAGAGATGACCCGCTCACACCATGGGTAAGGGATACCCCGCTCACACAGTGGGGTTACCGGTAAGGGATGACCGCCCACAAAGAGTAAGAGCTGGACCCGCTTCACAGAATGAGTAAGAGATGACCCGCTCACACAATGAGTAAGAGATGACCCGCTCACACAATGAGTAAGGGATGACCCGCTCACACAATGAGTAAGAGATGACCCGCTCACACCATGGGTAAGGGATGACCCGCCCACATAAGGAGTAACGGGTGACCTGCCCACATGATAAGTAACAGATGGCTCCCGCCCGCATGATTTATATGGAGTACATGATAAAATGATCAGATCAACTTTTATTTTAATTTTACATGAAGCATGCAATATATAAATATAAAACTGTGTAAGTAAGTAAGTAAGTTTATTCAGGTATACACAAATACAGTTACATAGAATTATCATACATAGCAGCATGTGTAGAGAACCTAGGATAGCCCAAAAAAGTCAGACAGAGTGACTTATTTCCATTGGGGTCCTTTTATCTTATTATTATAATATAAAGGTTATAATATTTTCTTATTATTCTACAATGAAGATAACATCTTATTATCATATTAAAAAGACTATCTACTACACGAGGGTCATTACTAGGAATAAGGTAAAATTTACACGTATGTTAGCTAAAAAATAGAAAATCATTCCCCTTCCCTTTCTGTAGCTACATTCATCAGTCACCTTTTGGCAGTCTTCTTGAACTGGTTCATGCTATGACTGGCTTTGACATGTGCGGGCAGTCTGATCATTCCTTTATTGCTGTACAATAAAAGGTGTTTGACGCCTGGCCAATGACTGTGGGTACTACAAAGTTGTGTTCTCTCCCCCTGGTACTCTGATTGCTTTGGTTCCCAACCTTGACAAAATTGACAGCAAGATATTCTGAAATATATTCTGTGGAATATACATTCACTACATATAAAAACGAGCAGGACCCGAATGGAAATTGGTCACTTTGACCTTTTTTTTGGGTTATCCTCGGTAATCCACACATATGCTGCTATGTATGATAATTTATGTAGTTGTATTTATGTGTATCTGTACCTGAATAAACTTACTTATAGAAAATAACTCAAAATCTGAATGACAGCAGGTAGCTATCATACTTACCTGTAAGGCTGGTTACGGGGCTACCATGATTCAAACCATCAGTTATCAAGCTTATCTATAGACATCAAACTTTTTTAAATTTCAATTAATTTAAAGTTGTGTTATAAGCTATTAAGTTTTTTGAGTTAGTAATGAGCAGAGGGAAGGTATGATGAGAGGGAGGTACCCAGCCTCACCGGGAACTTGGAACAAGCAGCTGGCTCGTCCTGCCAAAATTTAAACACGACAGAAATGTCAGCTCTCTCTCTGTGAGTTTTTTTTAGTTAATTTCTTTTATAACTGAATTACAATAACATTAATTGTTAGATTTGTAAGAGAATGGTTAGTTAAAGACGGTTTTTGTACACCATAATATGTAGTTACCTGGCTAGAGTGGGATTACAGTTATAACATTATTACCTGAGAAAATACGTTAGTTACAGTAATAAATTAACAATGTATTGTATATAACTTACAAGGAAAACTCCATAGTTATGCATTGCATTTCGGGTAAAAATGCAGGTGATTTCTTGTGTAGCTAATATTCATGTAACATTTTCAATTTGCGTAACTGATCTAATGTTTATTTTTATTCTTATTGTATCGATTTTTATCATTCATTTTCACTTGTTTTATTGTTATTGTTAAGAATCATGATTTGATTTAGGTTGCTAATAGTAAAGCACCGAATTGCAAGAACTAATGGAAATGTACTTTTTAACTTTTTTAATTATGCTAGGCAATTTATGTATATGTTATGTAAGACCATTGTAAATATCCACTAATTATGTAAAATTATACCTAAATAAACTTAATTAAAACTCCAAGGGCACTAAACATTATATATATATGTATATAAGGACATTAAATTTATGCACAAAATTTATTCATTGAGTATATATGTTTTGTTTAGCGTAAATATACCCTTAATGAGGTTACCTTGATGATGGTGAAGGGCTCATAATACAGTTAATTAGAGCTGTCCCTCTTCTTTCATTAATCAAAACTGATGACCTCCCAATCTAGTTTTTCATATTTTTGTGGTTAAAGTATCATTAATGTCAGTGTCTAGATTTCTTAATGGTCCTCATATAATCACTGCACCTAAAAATTAACAGGTAACCTTGGTCTACACTGCTTACAATGTATTTCACACTAATATTGTGTATCAAAGAAGTTGTCTGTTCGTCCAACTCAGAAATAGTATACTACCTTAAACTAATTACTGTACTAGGATGAATGCCAGTGATATTTCTGACATTTACAAGTCACTGATTACTCAGGAGAATTATTATTATTATTATTTTTTTTATTATCACACTGGCCGATTCCCACCAAGGCAGGGTGGCCCGAAAAAGAAAAACTTTCACCATCATTCACTCCATCACTGTCTTGCCAGAAGGGTGCTTTACACTACAGTTTTTAAACTGCAACATTAACACCCCTCCTTCAGAGTGCAGGCACTGTACTTCCCATCTCCAGGACTCAAGTCCGGCCTGCCGGTTTCCCTGAACCCCTTCATAAATGTTACTTTGCTCACACTCCAACAGCACGTCAAGTATTAAAAACCATTTGTCTCCATTCACTCCTATCAAACACGCTCATGCATGCCTGCTGGAAGTCCAAGCCCCTCGCACACAAAACCTCCTTTAACCCCCCCCCTCCAACCTTTCCTAGGCCGACCCCTACCCCGCCTTCCTTCCACTACAGACTGATACACTCTTGAAGTCATTCTGTTTTGCTCCATTCTCTCTACATGTCCAAACCACCTCAACAACCCTTCCTCAGCCCTGTGGACAACAGTTTTGGTAATCCCGCACCTCCTCCTTTAACTTCCAAATTTACGAATTTCTGCATGATATTCACACCACACATTCCCCTCAGACATGACATCTCCACTGCCCCCAGCCTTCTCGCTGCAACATTCATCACCCAAATGCTTCACCCCCATATAAGAGCGTTGGTTTTTAAAACTATACTCTTTACATTGGCTTAAGCCGGTAGGAGACTTGGACCTCCCTTTCGATGGGGCCAGTAGGCCTTCTGCAGTGTTCTCGTTCTTTGTTTTTTACATTCCCCTCTTTGCCTCCAAGGACAAAGTTCTTTGTTCCACAGACTCCTAAGTGCACACTCATTTTTTTCCCTCATCAATTCTATGATTCCCTCATCTTTCATAGCCCATCTGCTGACCGTCCACTCCCAAAATATCTGAATACGTTCACCTCCTCCATACTCTCTCCCTCCAATCTGATTTCAATCTTTCATCACCTAATCTTTTTGTATCCTCAAAAACCTTACTCTTTCCTGTATTCACCTTTAATTTTTCTTTTTTTCACACCCTACCAATTCATCCCAATCTCTGCAACTTCTCTTCAGAATCCCCCAAGAGCACAGTGTCATCAGCAAGAGCAGCGTGACAACTCCCACTTTGTGTGTGATTACTTTATCTTTTAACCCCACGCCTCTTGCAAGACCCTGCATTTACTTCTCTTACAACCCCATCTATAAATATATTAAACAACCATGGGGGACATCACACATCCTTGTTTAAGGCTACTTTTACTGGGAAAAAATTTCCCTTTTTCCCTACATACTCTAACTTGAGCCTCACTATCTCGTAAAAAAACTCTTCACTGCTTTCAGTAACCTACCTCCTACACCATACACTTGCAACATCTGCCACATTGCCCCCCTATCCACCCTGTCATACGCCTTTTCCAAATCCATAAATGCCACAAGACCCCTTTAGCCTTATCTAAATACTGTTCACTTATATGTTTCACTGTAAACACCTGGTCCACACACCCCCTACTTTCCTAAAGCCTCCTTGTTCATCTGCTATCCTATTTTCCGTCTTACTCTTAATTCTTTCAATTATAACTCTACCTTTACACTTTACCAGGTATACTCAACAGACTTATCCCCTATAATTTTTGCACTCTCTTTTTCCCCTTTGCCTTTATACAAAGGAACTATGCATGCTCTCTGCCAACCCCTAGGTACCTTACCCTTTCCATACATTTATTAAATAATTGCACCAACCACTCCAAAACTATATCCCCACCTGCTTTTAACATTTCTATCTTTATCCCATCAATCCCAGCTGCCTTACCCCTTTCATTTTACCTACTGCCTCACGAACTTCCCCCACACTCACAACTGGCTCTTCCTCACTCTACAAGATGTTATTCCTCCTTGCCCTATACACGAAATCACAGCTTCCCTATCTTCATCAACATTTAACAATCCTCGAAATTTTCCCCTCCATCTTCCCAATACCTCTAACTCTCCATTTAATAACTCTCCTCTCCTATTTTTAACTGACAAATCCATTTGTTCTCTAGGCTTTCTTAACTTGTTAATCTCACTCCAAAACTTTTTCTTATTTTCAACAAAATTTGTTGAAAAACATCTCACCACTCTCTCATTTGCTCTCTTTTTACATTGCTTCACCACTCTCTTAACCTCTCTCTTTTTCTCCATATACTCTTCCCTCCTTGCATCACTTCTACTTTGTAAAAACTTCTCATATGCTAACTTTTTCTCCCTTACTACTCTCTTTCTCATCATTCCACCAATCGCTCCTCTTCCCTCCTGCACCCACTTTCCTGTAACCACAAACTTCTGCTGAACACTCTAACACTACATTTTTAAACCTACCCCATACCTCTTCGACCCCATTGCCTATGCTCTCATTAGCCCATCTATCCTCTGATATTTTTTTTTACTAACAAAGAGTTCTCCTGTATATAAATTTAATAAAATTACTGGTAAGCATTTTTTAATTGCTGTATAATATATATAACATAGTTTCTTTTTATGTTCTTAAGAGTGAGAATGAATGAGTTTGTGAAGGATCTGCCTAATTATGTTAAAAATGCCTTATAATAATCGGATGAAAATATACATGTTACAGGAAGCGTCCTAGGGTAAGGCAGCCACGCCTCACTTCAAAGCCACAAAACCTAGAGCCAAAAAATGGCAAAGATCCAGTGGAAGTGACATGTCGGATAAAACCACCAGATAATGTGGATGAAGATCATTGTATATGTGCTTTTGATTTACACACTGTGAAGGTAAGACTAATCGTCTTATGGGAATGCAGTTTTTTAGGTTCATTATATCATCATCATCACCTATCAATTACCATACATTCAATTCTTGAATTTTCAGCTTATCCCTCCGGCTACAAGCTTTGCCTTCCGAAATGGATGTGGCAAGGAGCAGTATTACAAATTCCAGCATGTTTTTAACCCTGAGGCAACACAAAAGCAAGTTTTTGACCAAGTTGCCAAGCCTCTGGTTGCTGACTTGCTTCAGGGAAAGAATGGTCTTCTGTTTGCTTATGGTGTAACAGGATCTGGCAAGACATATACCATGGAGGTGAGGGAATATTTAAACTTGTTGGTCCCTTTTGTATTTTAGAAGAAAGTAGCGAGTGTTTCTGGTAGTGTGTGCATGTCCTTTTTGATAAGCAGAGCTTGCTATGTACAGTATTTACTAATCAAACTTTGATAATTTTTCCAGACAAGCTGTTTGTTGTAACTTATATGTGAAAATCAATATGAACATCACAGATTTACTATACAGTATTTCACAGATGTAAAATAATGATATATTTGTAAAATATTCATCACTAACATTTGTACTTATTTTTTAAATCCTGACATTATAGGGCATTAGTACTCAGCAGATAATGCTCACTGTCAGAAATATTTTCTTGCATTGTTTATTAGTGACAGCAAAATTACCTTGACCTGATCTTTAATTTTACTTTTGCTTTGTAATACAGTATAATGGATTTTGTGTGCTTTTATTGATTTGATAACAGCACACTATGTATTTAGACTCATGATATCTAGGAGGTCTCCTGACCTGTGATGCTAGAACACTCTACTGTTCAATCATTGGAGTCAGTGTTCAATACACCTTCAGGTGTAGCAAGTGTTTGAAATGCTTGATGAAGACTACTCGTTAGTTTGGGTATCATGTATGTACCATAATAATGACTGCTTGGTTTTACAAGCAAGCTTTGAAGGAAACTATTTTTAAGAGTGAGAACTTTTAATGTTATCTTTCAAGCTTGCACCTCCTAGACCTGCAGGTACATTACAAAACATATTGTAAATAAAAAAAAACTCTGTCCCTGTTCTTCACATTTGTCTCTTTTCAGATATGTAGCTGTGAATTATACAGCCATCAGTAGATAGGCTTTTTGTCTATATAATATTCAATGTTTATAACTGACACATGCCATGATATGCAAACTTTCAGGGGACACCTGACAATAGTGGCATAATACAAAGAACTCTGGATGCAATATTCAACACAATCCAAGATTATCAAGCACAGAGATGTGTCTTCATGCCTGATCATATGAATGGCTTTGATATCCAGACAGAAGCTGAGGCTGCACAGGAGCGCAAGGCATTTCAGGCTCAGAGTAATGTCTGCAAGACACCCCGTACTCCAAGACAGAGGTACTCTTGTTTGTTACAGTGGACCCTCGGTTTTCATGTTTAATCCGTTCCAGAGCCATCAGCCAAAACCGAAACCATTTTCTCCATAAGAAATAATGTAAATGGAATTAATCCATTCCAGACACCTAGAAGTATCAACAAAAATAATTTTTTTTACCTTAAAGATAGATTTACATGCACAAAAGAATAAACATTACACATGACACTTAACTTTATTGAAGGCTGTTTTTGCTGGAAGGAAGACAGGGAGGAGGGGAGAGGGAAGAGGTTATTCTTTGGAAGGGGAATCCCCCTCCATAAGGACTGGAGGTACCAAGTCCTTATCTGGGGTTACTTCCCTCCTTTGTTTTTTAATGCCACTAGGACCAGTTTGAGAGTCACTGGACCCCTGTCGCACAAAATATCTGTCCAGATAGGTCTGTTTCTGGCTTCTCAGATTTGCCTAAAATGGGACATGGTATTGTCATTGTAAAAGTCGCCAGCACGGATTGCAACAGCTTTCTCAGGGTGCTGTTGCTTCACAAATGAGTGTACCCTAGTCCACATTGCACAAATCTCCTTAATCTCTGAAGAAGGCACCTGCTTACATCTCTCTTCCTCCTCCTTTGCATCAATTTCCTGTGCTGTGGTCTGTTGCTGTTGCAGATGCTCTTTCAGCTCATCAGTGGTTAGCTCTTAATTGTGGCCATCCACCAACTCTTTCACATCCTGGCCACTCACATCCAACCCCATGGAATTCCCCAGTGCCACAATTGATTGCACAACAGGTGTAGGGTCGACAGGGTCAGCCTCAGACCCTTCAAAATCCTACTTTTGGACACAATCTGGCCACAGTTTTTCCCAAGTAGAGTTCATTGTCCTGGAAGTCACTCCCTGCCAAGCCTTATCTATAAGGTCTATGCACTGGAAGATATTGTGTTCCTCATTTTCTTTACCAAAGCACTGGCACTAGGAGCTTTCTTTGGGGCCATGGTTGCTTATTTAGCAGTCACACACAATAAACAAGTGGCAAAAACAATGGATTAATATGAAATGTTTTGTATGACCTCGCAGGATATGTTCACTCACTGAGAAACAACGCTGCACTGGCTGAGAATGCGTGTGGGAGGTAGCTTTGTCTGTGCGCTGGGCACTGGACAGGTTCCGTATGATCGGCGAAAACGGAGGTAACTGACGAAAACGGAACCAAAAAATCAACGAAAAAAGTCGTCCAAAACCGAAATTGGTGATAATGGAGATCGACGAAAATGGAGGGTCCGCTGTATTTATTTTAGCAAGACTTGAGTTCTGGAGATGAAAAGTATGGAGTCTGTACTCTGAAAGATGGATGAAAATGTTGTGATTGGGTGGATCCTTTGAACTCGGATGTCTGCTCAGTTTCGGAAAACATCTAAAGAATGAACAATGGTGAACTTATTTTCTTCTTTGGGTCACCCTACCTTGGTGGAAGCCAGTGTATTATTAAATAAAAATTTAGATTTCAGTATTGCAATCCTGTGGATTTATATAGATTGTGTATATGTGCAGTACCATGGGCACTGAGTTATAAACACTAGATCCTTAGTCGTGTGTCAAAGTTTGCTGAGGTTCACGTACACTGTACCTATCTATTTGTTCTTGAAGGGGTCATGCCTTAGCTCCTGGCTCCACCACTCTACTTGCTGCTTCCCAGATTCTTTCCTACCTCCATGGGCCCTATTTTACCCTTAAAACTATGTATGGCATTTGTCTTTACCACTTTTTTGAGATCATTCCACTTCCTGACCACTCTGAGACTCGAGAAATAATTCCTGACTTTCCTGTGGCTCATCTAGGCCTTTAGCTGCCAGCTGTGTCCCCAAGTACCTGTTTCTTGCCTCTCAAACTGCTTCTCCCTGCCTACCCTATCAATTCCCTTTAATATTTTGTATGTGTATGTGTGGGGGATGTAATTTGATGTGCTGCTAGTGTGAGCAAGGTAACATTTATGAAAGGATTCATGAAAACCAACTAGTTGGATTTGAACCCTGAAAGTGCAATGGGTGGAGTTACAGTATTTGCTGATTCCTTTTCATCATCATTTTAGGACAGTTGACACACCAGTTTTGGACATTCCCATGCGCATCCCAGATGGATCAAAAATTGATGATTTAAATGAAGATAATGTGTATGCTGTTTTTGTGACCCACATAGAAATTTATCAAAACTACATCTATGATCTTCTGGATGAAGCATCAGGCAATGGGCAGTCTCACAGGTAAAGTCATTTTGGCTATGATTTTGCAGTTAATCAAAATCATAGTTTGCTTTTATTAATAGATAAAATAAATTTGCTTGTAAACTTTTATAGCTATAGCTATGTTTCTTCTAGGTAGTAGGTTGGTAGACAGCAACCGCCCAGAGAGGTACTGCCGTCCTGCCCAGTGAGTGTAAAACGAAAGCCTGTAATTGCTTTACATGATGGTAGGATTGCTGGCATCTTTTCTCTCTCATAAACAAGCAAGATTTCAGGTATGTCTTGCTACTTCTACTTACACTTAGGTCACACTACACATGCATGTACAAGCCTATATATACACACCCCTCTGGGTTTTCTTCTGTTTTCTTACTAGTTCATGTTCTTGTTTTATTTCCTCTTATCTCCATGGGGAAGTGGAACAGAATTCTTCCTCTGTAAGCCATGTGTGTCGTAAGAGGCGACTAAAATGCCGGGAGCAAGGGGCTAGTAACCCTTTCTCCTGTATACATCTCTAAAGTTAAAAAGAGAAACTTTTCTTTTTCCTTTTTGGGCCACCCTGCATCGGTGGGATACGGCCAATTTGTTGAAAGATGGTGACGTTTCTTATAATACGATAGAAAAAATATAAATTAAGGAAAGACAACATTAAAGGTAAAATGTAGTTGTAATCTTGGCACTGTTGACAGTTTATTACAAGTGCCACCATTTTTTTATTAAATCCAATTTATACTCCATATCACTAGAATCATTTTCCTTCATTTTAGCAATTGGTACACAAGGGGGTTATAGGCCCCTTGCTCCCAGCATTTTAGTCATCTTATATGACATGCATAATTTACAGAGAAAGGATTCTTACTAACTTCCATGGAGTGTGAGCAATGTAACATTTAAGAAAGGATTCAAGCAAACTGGTTGGTCAAACATGAGTCCTGGAGGTGCAATATACAATATCAGAATTTTGAAGGCTGGGTAGAGTTGTGGTTCAGATGGTTTTCTGAATTGTGATGTCCATGTGAATCTTGCGAGACAGCCGTTGAATGAATGATGGTGAATGTTTCCTTTTTTGGACCCACCAAGGTAAGGTGGCCCCAAAGAAATAAATTATTTGCTGTCATTCTGATCTGTATTTGTGTCTAAATTATTGCCCAGTATAGAGAATAAAAAGGCACAAGACCATGGCTGGAACAAGTACGTACACATAACGTCCTTTAGGAGAGGGAAAGTAATAATGATGTTTTTGTCCTACTTGGATCGCTAACAAGTCACAGTGTGACTTGTCAATGGTCCAAATAGTGCTGAAGCAGTGTCATTACTTTCCATCCCCTAAGTGCAGAGTATTTGAATATATGTATTGCCAAGTATGTTTGTCTCAGTCCTTGTGTCAAGTCACTAGTATTATCCTTGCATGTACTGTATCTCTTTCAGCCTCTAGTTTGTATACCAGTGTTCAGTAGTAAACAATTTAAGAGACTAATAGGGAGGAACAGGTGACCAATAATGGTGACTGGTGGATAGAGATTGGACTGTTTTGCTGGAATATTAGCAATATCTAACAATTCTGTAACCAAATAAATTTTCCCCAGTGGGTTTTGTCCTGTATTTCAGAGGTAGAGTATGTTAAATCAAGGTTCCTTAAATTGAGGGATGCTGGTCTCTTGAACAGTTTCTAGATAATCTCAGAATTTAAATTAATTTGTTTATCAGTACTTA